AGATTTCAATCATACACACACACACACACACACACACACACACTTCTTACATAGCTATAAACCTTAAACTTCAGCTGTGTTTATGCTACTAACCATCCTAACCATATCTACTCAGGGCTTCTTGTCTGATGAGTGGGGCTAGGATTGTATACCCTCTAACATTTGTCCAATGAAAATAGGGATGCTCTATTCCATAATAATAATTTTCTTATTTATACCCCACCCATCTGACTGGGTTGCTCCAGCCACTCTGGGCTGCTTCCAACATATATAAAAACATAATAAAACATTAAACATTTTTTTTAAAAACTTCCCTATAGAGTTGTACCTTGGATCTCGAACTTAATCCATTCTGGGAGTCCAACTCCCAGAACCATTCGAAAACCAAGGCACAGCTTCTGATTGGCTGCAGGAGCTTCCTATACTCAATCAGAAGCCGTGGAAGCTGCATCGGAAGTTCGGCTTCCGAAAAACCTACTTCCTGGTTTGCGGCGTTTGAGAACTGATTTGTTTGGCTACTAAGCCCTTTCGAGATCCCAGGTACGACTGTACAGGGCTGCCTTCAGATGTCTTCTAAAGGTTGTATAGTTACTTATCTCCTTGACTTGTGGGTCACATAACTCCATACCCTCCAACATTTATCCGATGAAAATAGGTTTCCTTTTCCTGGGAAACCTGGAGGAAACAGTGCTGGGAGAGAAGCAATAGGAATCTGATTAGATCCTTTGTTTTCCATACACATCCATAGCAAAATGTTGGCAATGTATAAGTAAAGCTCAATATTTACCTTGTCCCATTAAATGGAATAAAGAAAAGGAAGAAGAAGCTGGTGAAGCCATTGGAAGGCAAGTTCTCGTTTGGCATGAAATGTTAGCGGAGGAGTGTGTTGTTTCGGGAACACTTCCAAATTGAGCAGCGGGATTAGCTTAGAATGGAATTCATGCTCAGTTTGGGTTCAGCAAATGTTTGCTCCCTGCCAAGCGGAAAAGAAAGTGTTAGCGACTAAATCCAGAGAATTATATTATCATCAATAAAGGGGCAAGGGCCAAGCCACGCTTGCCCTGAAACCAAAGCAAAAAGAGTACCATTCTGGCATCTCCCAACAACCGTTGTGTGCTGTTCCACTTGGCAGTGCTTTGCTACATAATTATTTGGATTTTGATCTTGCGGGAATGTGCACATCGCGGTTTGTCAAGCTGTGAGCAGCCTTTGCGAGATCGGGATCTGAGACATATTGTTGAGGCAGGGTCAGGTTTACCCCCGAGCACATGCCAAAGTGTCAATAAATGAGCTCTGAGGGAAGAATGGAGAGTTAATTGGGATTCCAGGCACAAGGTCGAGTTATGAGAATCCATCTGAGGGTGGGAGGCCCTGGTATGATGGGAATTATCAAGAACCCAGGCGCTGAGGAACATTCATTTAGTAGCATGGGACGAGGGTGGCGCTGTGGTTTACTACTGAACCTCTTGGGCTTGCCGATCAGAAGGTCGGCAGTGCAAATCCCCGCGACGGGGTGAGCTCTGGTTGCTCTGTCCCAGCTCCTGCCAACCTAGCAGTTTGAAAGCACACCAGTGCAAGTAGATAAATAGGTACCGCTGTGGCGGGAAGGTAAACGGCGTTTCCATGCACTCTGGCTTCCATCACGGTGTCCTGTCGCTGGCCACATGACCCAGGAAAGCTGTCTGTGGACAAACACTGGCTCTCTCGGCCTGAAAGTGAGATGAGCACCACAACCCCATAGCCGCCTCTGACTGGACTTAACCGTCCTTTACCCTTTTACCTTACATTTACACTTAGTAGAAATGTACTATGATAGGTCCCAAGGAAGTACTGGGACCCACGGATCACAGTTTGAGATAATTGCATAGTTATTTAGAAGAGGCCTTAATGATTGGCCTGCAGTTGCTTCTGTCTAAAGCAACCAGCTTCGATAAATGATGTCGCTGCTCCTACTTGCGATAAATGTCTTAGACAGTGCATACCCTCCAAGTGCCCCTATTTTCCAGGGACAGTCCCAGAATTACAAAAGCCACCCTGGCTTCTGATTTGATCCAAAAATGCCCCGATTGCTCCACCAGTGCCACCACCGCTGAGCTCAGAGAGGAGGAGGAGCTGGTGCTTGTCCCGGGTGGTGGCTGCGAGGGAGCATCCCATGGTCTCTCCATGGCCGCTGCTGCCGGCTTCCTCCCTTGGGCAGCTCGTAGCTGCTACTGGAGGAGGAGAAGAGGCCCATGCAAAGGGCAGGAAGAAAGGGGGAGAGGGACACAAGGAGTCTTGATTTTTATTTTTTAATGCTTTGTGCATCTGCATCTATTCTTGCCCCTTTCTAAAAAAATATTTATTGGTGTATGGTTTTTTTGTTTGTTTTTTGTTCTCTACCAAAGAATAAAATAAAACCAGGATTAAGGGGTTTTCTCTGGATGTTAGAGTGTGTGTGTGTTGTATGGTGGCGGCACTTACCCTTCTTCTGATAAGAAATGCTCGGGGGGAGGAAACACCAAAAATGTGGGGTTGAGGAGGGTCAGTTGTGGAGGGGATGGAGAGAGAAATGTCCCTATTTTCATCTGAGGAATGTTGGAGGGTATGGACAGTGTTTCCATGTTACCAATAAGGTATAGGGGTACCTCGGTTTTCAAACATCTCTGTGGATCAACATGTCGGTTTTCAAACACCATAAACCCAGAAGTAAATGCTTTGGTTTTCGAACACGCCTCCGAAGCTGAACATGCCACACGACTTCTGCTGAGCGCAAGATCCTGAGGACTAGCTGTTGGCTATTGAGTTTTAAGTTTTTGAACATTTCAGAACTCGAACGGTCTTCTGGAATGGATTAGATTCGAAAACCAAGGTAGCACTGTATACTGTTGCTTCTGTGACTGTTCTCACTTCAGGTACCATCTTGTGTACATGTGGTTAGGACAAATCATGTGGTATGAGCTCCATGTTAATGCCACTCCATTGTGTGTGGGAGGATGTAAAGCATGGTACATATCCAACATGACCAATATTACCAGGAGCAGAGCAAGAGCAAGCACCTTGGTGGAATCTATTATATCTGCTCTAGGTAACAATATACAATGTGCATGGAAAGAGCAAAATGTGTTTGGCTCTGGTAGCCTTTATCCAAGGACCCGATTTACTGAGTTGGGATCATGGCTCTGCATGAAAGACGTTCAGGGCCTCACGCTTTATAATAATGCTTCATTTAATTTCTTCATTGGAGGGATGTGCCTGTAGTGGCTGTCGGGTTTTATGGCCTCTGCAGTCACACTGAGGCTTCTACAGAAATGAGAGGGCTAATGTGTAAACCGACTGCAGTTGCACCACAGAGCAGAGAATGGATTGACAAGTTGGAAAAGGGTGGGCCATAGCTTGTGAATGTTTTATAAGCTATATGCAATTTGAGAGTAGCTGCCAACTGCCAGAAAGAAGCAGAAAATTATTTAAGCCAAGCCTCTCCCAGTCTTTCTTCTTGTGTCCCTAAAATCTATCGCTGTGTACTTTATCTGTGGCCAATTTGCCCCTGAAATTCTAGGGGGGGGTGGGATGTACAGATGAATATGCAAGGCTGGTTGAAATCAATGAGAGGTATTGCCCCATTCCTTTCAACGGGGTTTGCATTTGAGTCCTTTCAGGTGGATTTTGGTCGTCTTTTTTTGAACAGAAAACTCAAGAGGGAAGTCGTATTCTGGAGCATCATTGGCTGTTGGTGTGGTTCATAAATCACCGGTGGTGGGGCATGATGCTTGAAGTAATCCATATTTTGAAATGCAAGGAACACAGTATAAGGCCAGCATATGCAATTTCTTTTTGCAGTGTTGAACAGACCTCTAGTGGCCAAAGGAAGTACACGCTGTCATTCAGAAATAACTTGATAAGAAAAAAATGCTGTGTATGGAAGTTTACTCTAAGTTTCAATAAGCGATCAACAAATGCCGCCCCTTGGAACTAACCACATCAGTCTCCTGAGGGTGGAACATTTGTAGGAAGCTCCCTCATCACAACCACAGAAAGTGAGGAAAAAGGGCTGGGTTGCTGAAATGCCACAAGCTGAAGGCCTCATTAATTCACTTAGCAAGTGTCCTTCCTTTGGACTGACTTATAAATCTTAGAGAACAGGGCTTCAGATGAAGCATGACAGCAGCATGACAGAAGGATTCCACAAGTGGATCTTAATGTGTGCTTTTGCACCTGATCGATTTTTGCTTTTGATTGGCCAGTCACATTAATGATATCTGTTGTTGTTTTTAAACGGTGATTTATGTGTTAATATTGTACACCGCCCTCATATTATACAGCATAGTGGCCTAGAAATACATTAATTCTTTTGGGGGGGCATCTTTCATATATATATATATATATATATATATATATATATAAATTCATTTTCCATACCAAATTATACATTCAAAACATCTTTTTTACATCCAGATTCTCCTTATTGACTTCCCTCATCCCGCCAGAAAATCCTTCCTAGTACTTACTTTCTCCACATTTCTTAAATTTAAATTTACACTACAATATTATTTACAGTAATTTATCTTATACTCTCATAATATTGTAATTTTTCTCTTCACAGAACTTCCTGAAAACTTACAAACGTTATCTGATTATCACTTAATTTTTGCATATATTCAACAAATTTCGTCCAATCTTCTGTGAATCTTTGGTCAGAAATACATTAATTCTTGAGGGCCCTGCGCCTGTAGCTATTAACTTTTATTCATGACCGGTATTGCTTGCATTGTATATAATCCTGGCATCAATATACTGAGAGTACATGACTTTATATTATGTTATAGTGTTTGACATATTCTTTGTTTTATTTATTTCACAAGATTTATATATCATTTGAGTGCAATTAAAAAAAAAAATCAACCTCCAAGTGGTTTGTGGAAAGAATAAAAAAATAAAAATTATCAGCAAAAAGCACTTAGAAACAACTATTTAAAACATCAAAATTTATTAAAACCAACAATAAGCTAAAAACCAGATTAAAAAATATGGCAGCATTCTAATCCCCCCCAATTATTTTTATTAGTTTCCCCAAATTTTTACGAATCGAATCAAATTATTTAATTTAATACAATTTCTTTTTTTAAAAAAAAAACAAACAGGTTTCCCACTCCCGTTGCAAACATATGTCCATCTTTTCCTCTATAACCACATCCTCTCTTCATTAATATCCATTTCATCATTCTTCTATATGCTCGCCTAAACAAAATGTTTTTGTCAGCTGTAGGTCCGTATAGTAAAAGCTATGGTTTTCCCAGTAGTGATGTATGGAAGTGAGAGCTGGACCATAAAGAAGGCTGATCGCAGAAGAATTGATGCTTTTGAATTATGGTGCTGGAGGAGACTCTTGAGAGTCCCATGGACTGCAAGAAGATCAAACCTCTCCGTTCTGAAGGAAATCAGCCCTGAGTGCTCACTGGAAGGACAGATCCTGAAGCTGAGACTCCAATACTTTGGCCACCTCATGAGAAGAGAAGACTCCCTGGAAAAGACCCTGATGTTGGGAAAGATGGAGGGCACAAGGAGAAGGGGATGACAGAGGACGAGATGATTGGACAGTGTTCCCGAAGCTACCAGCATGAGTTTGACCAAACTGCGGGAGGCAGTGGAAGACAGGAGTGCCTGGCGTGCTGTGGTCCATGGGGTCACGAAGAGTCGGACATGACTAAACGACTAAACAACAACAACAGAGAGCATACAGTGAAGGCACCTGCCTGATGTCAATAGGCAGGCAGTTCCGAGGTGCAGATTCTGCCACAAAGCACCTTACAACTGCCAATAAAAGCCAACACTACCTGCGAACAAAATGTAAAAATACAAAAGACAGTACAATAGACCATGGGTGTAGCCAATCAGGGGTAGGGGTAGGGGGGCAACTCCCCCCCAACATCAAGTAAATCAATAAAAATACTTAACTAACTGAGGTTCTGTCTCTCTCACATACACACAACCTGTCCCTAATAGTAATAATAATAATAATAATTTATTTATACCCCGCACATCTGGCTGGGCTTCCCCAGCCACTCTGAGCGGCTTCCAACAAAATATTAAAATACAGTAATGCATCAAACATTAAAAGCTTCCCTAAACAGGGCTTCCTTCAGATGTCGTCTAAAAGTCTGGTAGTTGTTTTTCTCTTTCACATCTGGTGGGAGGGCGTTGCACAGGGCAGGTGCCACTACCTAGAAGGCCCTCTGCCTGGTTCCCTGTAACTTGGCTTCTCGCAGTGAGGGAACCACCAGAAGGCCCTCAGTGCTGGACCTCAGTGTCCGGGCAGAATGATGGGGATGGAGACACTCCTTCAGAAGTCAGCCCCCTAACAGAAATCCTGGCTACTCCCATGCAACAAACCAAAAAACCCACCAATAATTTAAAACTGCAGAAATGAAAGAGGCTCATTTCCTAAGTTCTGGGTACAGCCTCTCTTGGGTACAGCATTTCCTTTGAAGGGGAGAATGCTCAAGATTTCTGGGAGTTTGTAATACGGGTTTATTTACCACCTTCAAACTGAGACACATCGGAAGAAGCAGGCACACAGGTGGTAGAATGAATCTTGAAAAACAGCCTTCATCCTTCAGAAGGAACGGTGCTCTCTTGCCGCTTGGGCTGCTTCTCACCAGGCAGCTGCGAAAACTCAAAACTTCTTTTTCGTTCTACAGTCAGTCGAGGTTCAAAACAACAAAACCATTTCCTTCAGCCTCCCGCTCTGGTTGTGGTAAAAAAAAAAATCCAGCTGCTTGGAGCGGCCAGGAGCTGTCCAAGATTAGGGGGAGTTGTCTAAGAATAAATACCACAGCATACAGAAATATAGAGGGAGGGGAGCATTTTGCATCTTCAGAGAGTGTCCTTGCAGTGGGATGAAGAGGGTGGGATAGCTGAAAACATGCACACTTTCTGTATGTTCAGTTCCTGGCGTTTCCAGGAACTGTGTGGCCTTCCCCAAACTAGCACTGTCCAGATGTTGTTGGAAAACAGCTCCTATCATCCGTGGCAACTGTCTGTAGTTCATGGTCCTGTATACCTGAAGGAACGTCTCCACCCCCATCATCCAGCCCAGGCACTGAGATCCAGCGCCGAGGGCCTTCTGGCAGTTCCCTCGCTGCGAGAAGGGAGATTACAGTGAACCAGGCAAAGGGCCTTATCAGTAGAGGCGCCTGCCCTGTGGAACGCCCTCCCATCAGATGTCAAGGCAATAAACAACTATTTTACTTTTAAAAGAGTTGAAGGCAGCCCTGTTTAGGGAAGTTTTTAATGTCTGACGCTGTATTGTTTTTGATATTTGGTTGGAAGCTGCCCAGAGTGGCCAGTCAGATGGGTGGGGTATAAATAAAATTTATTATTATTATTATTATTATTATTATTATTATTATTGAAGCTGTTTGAGAGGCTGCACTGTATAGCAGCCTCAGAAATGCCCCCTGGCTGAGTCCTTTGGAAACCCATGAGAGTCAGAGGAGAAGGGAAAAACCCAGCCCATTGGCCAAATTAAGCCAACAAGGAGTCCTGATTTGACCTGTGAGGCTCTCCCTTTCCCCAGCCACGCCCACCTGTCATTCACCTGATGCCATGTGACATCGTATGTGCATCAGCTAAAGCCACAGCCACAAATATTGTGGGAATGTTCAGGGATGCAGGAGAGGATATATTGTGAGATTATATCCTTATCCAACTTGTGCTAACAAGTTCCCAAAATATCAGCAGAGTTAATAGACATTCCCCTTTAAGTTCGCAACGGTAACGCTTGCACAGGTTCGCTAGAACCACTATAATAATTACTCTGGTAATTTCCCCTTTGTTCCCTCTTAAAATACAAGACACGACACAGTCTTTATAAAAGTATAAAAGAGTTTACTCACGTTCTGTTCACAATAGGATCCCAGAAGGCAGACAGGCTTAAAAAAAGGTAAAATACATTTAGAATCTATCTTATAGGAAGATAGTCCTTTTCTCCTCTCTTGGCTGGGAGCCAAGAGGGCATGTTGCTTCTTCGAAAGATGAAGATGGGAGAGAGAGAGGCAAGAGAGCAAGAGAGAGATGGCTGTCCTGCCCTGTGCTTTTATCATTACCTGCACAGGTGAGGCCACACCCACCTCTGGTCACATGCGGAGGAAGTCTGTCCCAGGAAGTTTACCTGCTGGCTGGACAGACAACCCTCCCCATGTCTTAACATGTACACTCTAGGAATGTTGTAATTGCCTGCTCCTGTGTTTTACATCCCACAAATATAAGTGTGGCTTCTTTGTGGCTCTCGCGTGTGGTGCCAATTAGATCAGACTTCAAACGGAAGCCCCTCTTGGCGCTCCCAGCTGGATCCGATGTCTGCTAAAAGCAGCGCTGCTTAGCGCCAGTTGGGAGTTCCCGACAGCATTGGCAGTGCGACTTGCCTTCGGTGCCCATTTAAAATTTGGCTGCCACGCTCAGATCCGCTTCGTGAGCTCCTGACTGGATGCAGTCCCTGTCAAAAGCAGACATCGGGTGCACTCAGGAGTTTGTGCTATAGGCCGCTCTCAAGCAGGTTGGCAAGCATTGACTTGCATTTTGTCCCATGTTCCAACCAAATTCAAGCCATGCTTGCAAAGGAACAAGCAGGAGCAGTGCCGGATTTACGTATAAGCTGAACAAGCTATAGCTTAGGGCCCCACTCTCTTGGGGGCCCCACAAAAAATTTAAAGGAAAAAAAACCTGGATGTACAGTGGTACCTCGGGTTACATACGCTTCAGGTTACACACTCCGCTAACCCAGAAATAGTGCTTCAGGTTAAGAACTTTGCTTCAGGATAAGAACAGAACAGAAATCGTGCTCTGGCGGCACAGCAGCAGCAGGAGGCCCCATTAGCTAAAGCGGTGCTTCAGGTTAAGAACAGTTTCAGGTTAAGAACGGACCTCCGGAACGAATTAAGTACTTAAGCTGAGGTACCACTATACATTACCAAAATACATATTTTGCTATGTGCAAATGGATTTAGATACCTATTAGGTCCATAAATTACCATATAGCATATATTCAACACACAAAAACAGAAACAATTTGTTGTTGACAAAAGACAGCTGGACATATAAAGGGCCCCATTACCTTCAATAGCTTAATAATAATAATAATAATAATAATAATAATAATAATAATAATAATTTATTTATTTATACCCCGCCCTCCCCGGCCAACACTGGGCTCAGGGCAGCTAACACTGAATATAAATACAGTAAAAACATTAAAAACAACACAAAACTAAAAACCAAACAAACAGTTGATTAAAATATAAGTTAGAATACAGTTTAAAATGCAGCTTAAAATGCAGCCTTGTTTTAGTGGTAGCCTATAGATGAAAGCCATAAGGGGAGAAAACGTCAAATATTCACTGGGGCCAACTATCCATGCCGGTCCTACATGGGCCAGCAAAAAGAGCCGAGGGAAAATTTGTATACAAAATCCCATATAAGGGGTCCCATCAAAAAATAAATAAATGAGAGGGGGCGGGGTTAGACTGAGTCCAGCCCCAAGGCCAGGCAGAACAGCTCCATCTTGCAGTCCCTGCAGAAAGATGTTTGAATGATTAGGGCCTCATCAAGCCTAAATCCGGCCCTGAGCAGGAGCATAGGCTCATAGAGCCATAGAGTCGGAAGGGACCATGAGGGTCATCTAGTCCGACCCCCTGCAATGCAGGAATCTTTTGCCCAACATGGGGCTTGAACCTACAACCCTGAGATTAAGAGTCTTAACACTCTACAAGCTGAGCTATCTCTTGATTGTTCCTTTACGAGTGTAACCAATTCAGTGCCAATTTCAAACCATGTTGCTTCTGCCAGTAGCGTAGGAAGGCAGGGGTTGGGGGGGGCATAGCATGGAGTCGCAGGGCGTCCCAAGCACTGCATGACATTGGGGACACTGTCCATCCCTCATAAAGTCAAGTTTGGGCTCAACAACTCTGGTCGTTCTAAAAAAAGCTCACCAACTTTTGCTGATACAGTCATACCTTGGGATAAATGTGCTTCAAGTTACGGTAAGTATTTTCGGGTTGCGCTCCGCAGCGACCCGGAAGTAACAGAGCATGTTACTTCCGGGTTTCGCCGCATGCGCATGCGCAGACGGTCAAAATGATGTCATGCGCACAAGCGGCAAAGCGCAACCCACGCACGCACAGACGTGCGGACGAAGGTTGCGTTCACTTCAGGAACAGATCCCGTTCACATCCCAAGGTACCACTGTATCTTTAAAAAAACTCGACAACTTTTGGCAATTTCTTAAAATAAGCTCTGACCCGGGTGCCAGTAGGGGTTGCTATGCCACTGCTGCCAGGGGATATATGATATCAGGTGATGGAAAGGTGGGTGGCCCTGCCCACCTCTGAAATGTGGCCCACGGAGGGTTGGCCACCATTAAATCTGGTCTGCTGGCCAGAAGGGATTAAATGGACCACTATAAGGCAACTTCACATCCTCAGCGGTGTAATTAATGGTAGGAATCATATCTGCTTTGGGCAGGCAGCATATGACAAGAAAGTGGGGGCAAAGAGTAACTAATACTAGGTAAACCAGCATTAGCTAAACCTCAGATGAGGGTAATTATTATTAAAAGTGTAATTACACTGCTTAAATAGAATTGATATCCCATTGGGCTAAGTTTGTCAAAAGACATTTACCAGCCTGCAGTCTCCCTTCTTTCCAGTGGCAACACCTATGCTCTATTTGGCTGAGCTCAATACTGCTATCCTCGTTAACAGAATCGAAATGCTGCTGCCCAGCTTCCTGTAATTTGGACCTTGTGTCCGTCCACTTTTTGCTCAAGGCTATGCTTCCCTTGCTGTAGCTAACAGAGGGATTAATGAAAAGCAAATTATAGTAAATCCAAGCTGAATTCTAGATAAAGTTCAGTCTTTGGCCTCGTGGGAATACTGCATTCATAGTTGCCTAAGAAAAGTGATAAAATGCAAAGGCCATTTGCTCAGGGCATCCATGATACCACACTGGCATTGTCATTTTTCCTCATTGTTGTAGCTTCCTGGAAGGAGAATAGGAAAAAGATGAAGGGCCATAAGGGATATTTCCTTTTCGGGTAAAATAAGAAACCCACACACAGGATGGCCACCCCTCCTACATGGATAAGCTTGAATTTTCACAGTTTGGGGGAAGCAAAGGAAGTCCCACATGCGACCTGCGCAGACAATTGCAGGATAATTGGATGGATTTAACTAGAGCGCATTTAGGCATGTCCATTCAAAGATGAAACAATTGCCATTGCGAAGTTGTTTGCAAATGAATACACAGGAGAAAATACTTCATCAGGCTGTTGTCAACCATTTAAAAGCCATTCTGATGGAAAGCTTAATCACAGGGATGGAGTTTAATTGCATTCACACTCGACCATGGCATCAGGTACTTGCTCGTGTTTCGGAAGAGCCATTGCTGATCTAACACCACAGACAGAATGTGCATCTTTTCCTGATGTCACAAGACTTTTCAATAGCGCCAGTCCAATTGCCAGTCAAAGCGTTGATTTACACATGGCTGGGGGCGGGGGGGGGATGCTATGAATAAGTCATACATTAAATTGTTATAAGGGAAGAAAGAGAAAACCCTATGTAAAATCACTTAGAAAAGTTTTGTTCTTTACATCGCCACCTGGTGTTGCATGTTTATAATGCATTTAAAACGCTGGCTTTTTTTAAACTAATGTAGCTAAGTCCTAGGTGCTTAGGATGCTTCCAGGTGGTCTGTTTATGGAGCATTTGTTTGTTTCCAAGGGCAGTTTCCCAACTCTTTCCTTATGGAGAAAAGTCTGATCTTTTGGGGAAGCCGATTTCTTGTGCCAGACCTCCCAGTCATCTGTAACGCACAAGGTGAATGTTCAGGCACGTGATTGACTCCCATCCCAAAAGGGCAACATCCTTTCACCAAGGGATCGAAATGATGGGCATGCATGGGCAAACCACCTCTCCTCTGGGTGCTCAAGAGCAACATGTTTCTTTACATAGTAATCAAAAGTATGCTTTAGTCAGTGTTAGAGCATCCTCTGTTAAGCTGACTGGCTTTGGAGATTCCCGTCTAGCCTTAATTCTGTGATTCTAAAGAGCATCACCAAAGACTGTTTAAACATGCAGCAGAATGAGATGAGAATTAGGTGCAAGAATGCTGAGGTGGTAGTATGAGGCAAAACACTTCTGGTTATGGGGAGGGAGACCAGTTTCCCTGCCTTCTCCTCCTTCTTTTGTTGTTGTTGTTTAGTCGTTTAGTCGTGTCCGACTCTTCGTGACCCCATGAACCAGAGCACGCCAGGCACTCCTGTCTTCTACTGCCTCCCACAGTTTGGTCAAACTCATGCTGGTAGCTTCCAGAACACTATCCAACCATCTCGTCCTCTATCGTCCCCTTCTCCTTGTGCCCTCCATCTTTCCCAACATCAGGGTCTTTTCCAGGGAGTCTTCTCTTCTCATGAGGTGGCCAAAGTATTGGAGCCTCAGCTTCAGGATCTGTCCTTCCAGTGAGCATTCAGGGCTGATTTCCTTCAGAATGGATAGGTTTGATCTTCTTGCAGTCCATGGGACTCTCAAGAGTCTCCTCTAGCACCGTAATTCAAAAGCATCTTTTTAACTCCCTGCAAATAGAAAGCAGTATGCCAGAAAGTTCCCTGCAAACAGAAAAGCTATCCAATGTAATTTCCTTGGGTGAGAAGGAATTTCAGAATGCAAGAGAAGAGAACAAGAGGTCACTTCAGGGGCATTTTCAGATGAAAATGCTTAGAACGATAAAAGCATAGCTGTCATCCAGTTGTTGTGGAGGAATAAGGCGTTTTCTCCCAAGGCAGAAATTTTGCTGCATTTTCTCCACATATTGCAATCGCTTCCTGCACCACAAGATAGCATGTGTTTTTATCTTGCCTTTAAGCCAAAGCAGAAACGGTTCCCAGGGTGGTTGCATTTACAGCCATCTAGAATGGTAGCTGGTCATGTTGTGCGGATGCCTGATTATCATCTTCCAAAGCAACTACTCTATTCCGAACTTAAAAATGGAAAGTGTAATGCTGGTGGTCAACAAAAGAGGTTCAAAGACTGTCTCAAGGCAAATCTAAAAAAAATGTAGTATAAACACCGACAACTGGGAAACACTGGCCTGTGAGCTCTCCAGTTGGAGAACAGCCTTTACCAAAGGTGTCATGGACTTTGAAAACACTTGAACTCAGGACGCAAGGGAGAAACGTGCTAAGAGGAAGACATGCGTGGCAAACCCTCACCACGATCAACTCCTGCCCAGAAACCAATGTCTCCACTGTGGAAGGACGTGTGGATCCAGAATTGGTCTCCACAGTCACTTATGGACTCACTGTTAAAACCGTGTTTATGGAAGACAATCTTACTCAGCTACGAGTGATCGCCAAAGAAAAAGAAGAGGGAATGGTAGCCATAAATCAGGGGTAGGCAACCAAAGGCCTGGGGGCCGGATCCGGCCCAATCGCCTTCTCAATCCGGCCTGCAGACGGTCCGGGAATCAGTGTGTTTTTACATGAGTAGAATGTGTACTTTTATTTAAAATACATCTCTGGGTTATTTGTGGGGCCTGCCTGGTGTTTTTACATGAGTAGAATGTGTGCTTTGGGTTATTTGTGGGGCATAGGAATTTGTTCATTCCCCCCTCCCCCCCCAAAAATAGTCCGGCCCACCACATGGTCTGAGGGACGGTGGACTGGCCCATGGCTGATTCCTTCCATAAATTAATTTTCCTTTATGTATTTTGCATCTTCCAACATTCTGTATCATGGGATATCCTTGAGTATGTTCAGCTGAACATTTTCTGCTATTAAGGCTACAGATATCTAAACCCACCGTGAGAGAGTCAAGAACGCACTACACGATTTAGCAGCCTTTGGGGAAACACAAGGAAAGCCAACCTGGTTCCACCATTGGAGGTTATAAAATGGTAAGTCCTTCCTCTGACCTGTGCTATTGGAAGTAATCCGCAGTAAGCCATTCTTTCTCAGATCCATTGTGGCATGTTAGAAACGAGCAGTTGAAAGTTGCAAAGTCAAGAGCTGTGTAATGGAAAGAGTTAGAAACGCCACCAACACGCCTTGTCTTTTCAGCCCATCTTGTTCTGGAAAGATAATTTTTAATGTTTATCGTAAACGGGTTCAAGGTTTTGCTACAGTGGCTGCCATCAAGTGCTATATAATTTTTTGTAAAAAAGAAATGTGAGAGAGATTCGCATCAAATGAAAGGTTGCACGCCGGTTAGGCACATTGCAGTGTCAAGTGTTGGGCCACCCGTTGTTCTGGAATCCTGCGTTCAGGTTTATAATGCAAACACGTCCTTTGTGCGTGATGAATACCTGTGCGTTCAAGAAACACTCGACCCCAGAAGTCACCCTTGCCGCACGGCAGCGATTCCACTTCACAGGTAAGCTGTTTGTGGTAGAATGCTGCTGTCAGCTCACTAGACCTCAGGAGAAAATATTTACTTCCAATAAATTTGCATAAGGCGGAGGCATCCCCGAATGCTGTTTTAAAGTGCGCTAGGTGATCGTGCCTATGCAATGCTTCCAAAGAACTGTCCTACCATAAGGAGGGTGAAGCCGGCCTCCCTCTTCTAGGGAGATGCTATTAGAGATCAACAAATGCAGTGGTACCTCGGGTTAAGTACTTAATTCGTTCCGGAGGTCCGTTCTTAACCTGAAACTGTTCTTAACCTGAAGCACCACTTTAGCTAATGGGGCCTCCTGCTACAGGACAAGGATAACTGTGACTTTAAAGATG